GTGTGTGTGTGTGTGTGTGTGTGTGTGTGTGTGTGTGTGTGTGTGTGTGTGTGTGTGTGTGTGTGTGTGTGTGTGGAAGTGTTCTGGTTTTACACTGGGAAAGGCAAAATGAACAACAAATATGATGATTATGATTACTACAATATAGTTTGTTTATGAGGCAGCGTGGTGGTACTGTGGTTATAACTGTTGCCTCTCAGTGAGAAGGTTCTGGGTTCGAATCCCAGGTGTCAGCCCTTATTTCTGGAGTTTGGATGTTATCCTTCTTCCTGTGTGTGTTTTCTTGGCGACTCTGATGTCTGTACCTGTGACGTTTTTAAGTCTTATTATACTATGACATTTTAATGCCTTATTATACTATGATGTTTTTCTGACATTTTTTACGCCTGACTTTATGTCTTACTATACTATAGTTTGTATATTAGATAGCATGGTAGCGCAGTGGTTAGTTGCCTTTCAGTCTGAAGGTTCTGGGTATGTTGACATTTTATGCCTTATTATAATATGGCGTTTTTATGCCTTACTATACTTTGACCTTTTTCATAATTTTATGCCTTATGTCATTTTTTGAAACTTTTATGACAAACTTCATTATATCGTTTTTTGACATTTTATACCTTACTATACGATTATGTTTTTATGCCTTTCTATACTATGACATTTTTACGCCTTACTATGATATGGCATCTTAAGCCTTACTAAACTATGTTGTTTTTTGACTAATTATGCCTTACTATACTATGATGTTTTTATGCCTTACTATACTTTGATGTTTTTTAAAATTTTATGCATTACTATGCTCAGATGTTTTTTATATCTTAATATACTATGACATTGTTTGACATTTTATTCCTTACTATGATATGGCGTTTTTATTCCTTGCTGAACTATGTTGTTTTTTAACTATTTATACCTTACTATGCTATGACGTTTTTGTGACTTTTTATGCCTTACTATACTATGACGCTTTTATGACTTTTTATGCCTTACTATACTATGACTTTTTATGCCTTATTATACTATGACGTTTTTTTGACTTTTTATGCCTTACTATACTATGACTTTTTATGCCTTACTATACTATGATGTTTTCATGACTTTTTATGTCTTACTATACTTTGTCGTTTTTTTGACTTTTTATGCCTTATTATACTATGACGTTTTATGCCTTACTATACTATGATGTTTTTTTGACTTTTTATGCCTTACTATACTATGACTTTTTATGCCTTACTATACTATGA